ATAGGTTGGATTGGTGCCGACAAGATGGGTTGATGGGGGTTGCTTTGAAGGATGCATGGCGGCTCCGCGTAACGATCTGCTGAAACTGTTTCAGCGAGTACGCGGATTGTTGACACCATTTCACCCAAGTGGAAAGCACAAAATGTTTAAATCCTATCAACGTTGAAGGGAATTCACCATGCAAGCGACGATGGATTTATTGGCAAAAGCACTGTCATAGACGTTCGTTTGCTTGCCTGCGGCCTTGCTGCCGAAGTAGAAGGAACGCCCCACACCACCAGCGCGCCATGCGCCCACGCAGTTGTGGTCAGGCCTGTGGCCGTAGTGATCCATGGCCCCGGCGTCGTAGTCGCTGGCAACGCGATCCATACCGCCGCTGATGCCTTCGAAGAAGTCCAAGGCCAGATCACAGCGCGTGACAAGGGCGCGATGTTCGTCCATGTAGTCGGCCATGCGTGGTGCCCAGCCTGGGGCAGCGAACGTGCAGGCGACGCCGTACAGGTTGCAATGAATGGTCTTCGATTGGGCGCGTTGCCGTGGGCTTTCGCCAGAGGCGAGGAAGCCGACCCATCCGCATTCATTGCCAGCGCGGACGATGCTCCAGCGGTGCCGGTAGAAGTCGTGGCCCTTCTTCATTTCCGGGTCCACGGTGAAGCCTTCACCGAGGATTTCGCAAACGTTGTTGGCGACCTCAAGGGCCTGTGTGCTGGCGGCGAAATCAGGGTCTGGAATGTCGCGCAGCAGGTGGCAGAGCTTGGCGCGGCGGCGGTCGTCTTCGCTCAGTTGATGCTCCGACCGGAGGTCGAATTCAGATGCCTGGGCGGGTGGGAAAAGATGCTCGACCGTGGGGATTGGAGCGAACCGCAGGTTGACCGTGAAGCGGAGCCAATCGACATGAACGGGCGAACCGGTTTGAACGCGCTCCGCTTGCAAACGGAGCTTGACTTCATTGCCCTCCAAAACGAGCGGTGTGGGGTGCGTCATGCTGCGTCCCCTGGTAAGTTGTCCCCGTGATTACCATCGGGGACCGAAGCTGTCCGAGGTGCTACGCACCCCCCAAAATTGATAGCAGAAGGCGCTTCGCGCACGGCCACTTCCCCGCGGGGCGGGGCCCCTTCTGCCGTGCGCGCGGCTACGAGCGCACCGACGCGGCGGGCATGGTCTTCAAGAGGGCGTTGGGGGAAGAGGTCGAGGAAGGCGGCGATGTGCAGCCACTGCGACAGGTTGCGCGGGCGGGTCATTTGCACTTTCTCCGGATGGCGGAGGAGCCCCGCACGATGAGCACAGCGGCGCACACAGAGGCCACGCACAGCAGGACAAAAATGAAGAAATACCCAAAGAAGGCATGGGCGAGGTTTTCGGCGGCTAGAAGGTCTGCAGCGAGCCGCTCGGGCGTGAAGGAAGAATCAGCAGGGGAACTGGCGCTCTGCGTGGCGGCCACGATCAAATCGGGGGTCATGCTGCAAGCCCAAAGCGGCGCAGGACACCGTGATAGAACAGCAGTGCAAGGACTTGCAGGACGAAAACCAGAGCTGCAGCGGTGCAAACAACCTGACCTATCAGAGCCGGATCAACTGGCGGTAGCGTGCAAGTAGTCATGGCTTGACCACCCGAGCGAAAGCGGCTTCGCATTGATGAAGAGGCGAGAGGAACGAACCGCACAGGACGCAATGCCGGGCGAACGCCTGGGCGAAAGGTGATTGAGGGGTGCCCACCCCCTGCCGGGCTGCGGCTGGAGCCGCCGAGCTTTGGCCGGGCCTTTTCGTGGCAGGGGGAGGACTAAAAGGTGTTGTGCGATCCTTCATGCTTCAACACCAACGGAGGAAGCATGAAAAACAAAGTCAGCCAAATGGACGCCGGAGAGGCATTCAGCGAGCTTCGAAACGCTCTGGATGAACTGGGAGCAGATGAGACCGTCAACACTGCTGTTGCATTCGTGCTGGTCCAGAAATTGGGCGACGCCATGAGGCAGAGCTACTCCAGGCGCAAAGAGGATTGCGTTAGGGAGTTGATAGCCACCAGCCAGAACTACAAGGCCAACGAAAAGACCATCGCGCTGGGAGCCTTGATAGACGCTTTTCTCATAGGTTGGATTGGTGCCGACAAGATGGGTTGATGGGGGTTGCTTTGAAGGATGCATGGCGGCTCCGCGTAACGATCTGCTGAAACTGTTTCAGCGAGTACGCGGATTGTTGACACCATTTCACCCAAGTGGAAAGCACAAAATGTTTAAATCCTATCAACGTTGAAGGGAATTCACCATGCAAGCGACGATGGATTTATTGGCAAAAGCACTGTCAGAGAAGCACGCATCCGCATGGGCGCGAGACTTCAATTTGGACAGGAGCACGTTTTCTCAGGCGAAGAAGCACGGGCGGCTAAGCCCCATGCTTGCTGGAAACATTGCTATTGAATTAGGAGAAGACCCAGAGCACTGGATCGCAATTGCTGCGCTGGAGGCTGCACAGAATGACAAGGACATGGCCTTGCTAACACGGCTGCGAGAGCGGCACAAGCCATGGCGGAGACTGTGAGATTCGAACTCACGGACGGTTGCCCGTCGGCAGTTTTCA